TTCAGTAGGCAAAATTATCGCTAACTATACCTTCCTCCAATCTCCTGTTCATTAGATTTTTCTCCCCAAGAATGTCAATGGGCTCCCTTATCTTTGGCTTCCTTGTGTAGTCACCCTATGGGGCTCTTCTTTCTGTTGCTTTCCAATTGATCTCATGTCCAATATGCGCGATGTGTTTCGCTAGTTCATATCTTTCGGTATTCATTTTCCTACAGAGTCTTTGATGTTCCTTAATCAGTGTGCTAATTTTTTTCCCTGTTTCGCCAATATATTTCTGTTAGTAGGCGCCGCATGATATACAGTAAACCCCTAAGCAATATAGTTTGTCTACCCTTTCATGTTGCGTAGGAAGACTTGTAAAAAGTGTTGATTTCTCTTTCATGGACATCTGAATATTCCATTTACTAAATATTGGCCGTCATTTCTGAATTAGTTTGCAGAAAGGTAGGCATATCCACTTTTGTGAATCCTTCATCGTCCTTACTGTTCTTTCATAGTCACCATTCTGCAATCGGCTTTTTACTACCTGTATGTTTCTTTGTATCACTTCGATTGGGTAGCCATTGCCGAGGAATATCCTCGTCAATTTTCCCAGCTCCTCGTCCCAGAATTCTACAACAATTACGCGTAGGCTTTGGATGATCATGCTCCTCATTATTCCAATCTTGAGCCTGTAATTGTAAAGGGACTGGAAATTGAGTATTATCCCCGCATAGGACTTCTTTCTGAACAATTTTTGTTTGAGCGTCCCATTAGAGCGAATTATTTCAAAGTCCAGGAACGGTAACCGCTCACCTTTCTCCACTTTAATCGTGAATTGAATTTTCTCCATGTGACCAAAGTCTAAAATAATCATCCAGTTATCACATGAGCACTGCCGGTTGTAGCGGTGCCATCTCGAAGTTCTCTTTTTTTTTTTTCATGTATACGTTAGCAAAAAGTGGTGAGAGCGGCAATCCTATGGGAAATCCAAATATTTGTTTCTCGATATTCCTGTTGAATGTAAAATAGGTTGCCCTTATTGTCAAGTTGATTAGTCTTGTTAACGGCTCCCTACCGATCCGTTGTGATTCCAGGATATCCTCCTCTCGGTCCAGCATTTCCAGCAGGGCCATTAGCGCATTTTCTCCAGAGATATTTGTATACATCGATTCCACATCGAAACTCACCAATAAGTCTGTTTCTTTCATAGAAGTGGGTTGACCTCGTTGTCGCAACTTGGTCTTGTTTACAGGGAGACCATGTAGAACGCACCTAGTCCCAAGTCGTCTGCCATGGTAGTTGTCATGATTCCCAGCATCTGAAAGTGGACTTGATACATTCTCAAACGTTTCGCCGGCTTCGTAGTCGGCATCATCAGTGAGTTTTTCCATTCGCCGCACCAAGCTACGAACTCGTCAAAGAGACAAGTGATGCCGGCGAAACGTTTGAGAAAGTATCAAGTCCACTGTCAGATGCTGGGAATCATGACAATTACCATGGCAGACACCTTGGGACTAGGTGCGTTCTACATGGTCTCCCTGAAAACAAGACCAAGTTGCGACAACGAGGTCAACCCA